CTGGGAAGCCCACCTCTCCCCACCTCTCAAACTGGCAGCCCTGCCTATTTACACCCGTATTGTCAGGCTCTGCTCCCGGCTGCAGGCAAGCAGGGGCATGGGAGGCAGTGAGCTCCCTTCCAGCCCCAAGCGCAGGCTGCAGCTCGCAGATATAAATCCACATCCCCCTGGGTCTCCTGGGCTCAAGAGCCGAGGGGGCATGCTCAGGGGAGGGATGCTGCAGCCCTGGAAAGGTACCCTGGAGCAGCTGCCAGCTCTTCTCCTGCGGGCAGGTGCCCATGGCCGCAGACAAAACTGTGTGGCGAAGAAAACAAGAGCTACAAGGTGATGCGCTGCAACCCAGAAAGTGCAGGGAGGAAGGCGTGCGGCACCCCACATCAGCCCCGTCCTGAATCACCCAGGCAGCTTCAAATGCAAGCCCCAAATGTAAATAATTTCATGAGACTGTCATAAGCTTTTCCTACCAAACCACTTGTAGAAACGTTCCCAAGAAACATTAGTTAAAAGGCCTCTGCCAAAACTATGCTGGTAACTAACCGGGAACATTTGGCCCGAAAGTAAAATATTTTGATGATGGAAAAAAAAGAAAAAAGACTTAAAATACACATAAAAGCAGCAACCAAAAATAACTCCAAACACCATGTGGGCCAGAGCTAAGGGGATGGTGCTGGTGGTGGTCAGGGAGCAGGGAGAGTGTGTTAGTGTGGAGACAGAGCAATAGTTTTAAAACAAAACCATTTCTTCTCCTGACTGCCCTGGGTTTTCATCCAAATGCTGGACAGGGTGAAGGCAGAGCTGCCGCACCCACCGCCCACTGTGCCACTCTGTGGCAAGGGGATATCGTCCAGGTGCTGGTTCACTGCTGACATGAGTTTGCCAGGTCTCAGGGCCGCTGACTGGTTCAAGGCCAGTCTGGAAAAATGACCCTGAAGTCACGATGCTGAAAGGCATCTTTGTCTGAAGGCACAAGGGAAGAGCTGGGGGCACAGCACGATTTGCAGCCACCACTGCTACTCAGACCCCTATGTGGTGGCAGGGGGTATCTCCGCAGACCCTGTCCCCAGCTGCATCCCAACCCCTGACTGCCATGGTGACGGCCCAGCGGTCTCCCACCGCTCACCCTGAGGGCCACCCACATCCTCCCACCCTTCAGCACCCTCTGTCCCGGGGTCCCTCAGCGCTCCCCACCCTCACCCCAGCACCCCATGAGCTCCCCAGCCTTGGAGGGGCTCTTCTGGGCAGCTGCCCACCCCTGCCAGTGCAGCACGGGGGAAGGCAGCACCAAGCCCCCCCAGACACACACACTGGCTTAGTAAATGACCTGCCTGAGCACTGCCAAAACCTAACCTAGACCGAGCATCACCGCAGATAGAAGAAACAGGGCAAGCCCTTCCTCGCCCGCCCGAAGGCCACAAACAGAAGAGGAAGGAGCCGCAGAGTGGGGGAAGACCCGGAGCCCTTGCCCGCCCCGGGTGCAGTGGTGTGGCAAGGGGCCAGGCGCTCCGAGCCAGGCAGAGCTGCAAAACAGCCTGCCCAGAAAGGATCCCCTTAATTTCTCCAACCAAATTCGCTCGCTGAGGGTGAAACAGGCGTGCAAACGAACGCTGCCACGCTGCCAGGCCACCTTCCTTCGTGGCTCTGCATCCCCACGGACGGCCACGCAGGCGGAGAAAGCATCCCTCTATGCATGCACCAGTGGTGACACATCCTGGGGACGGGGAGTCCCAGAACAGTGGTCCTGGAGCCAAGCCAGGACAGAGGGAACAATCGGAGCTTTTCTTCCTCCCTGCACGCTGATCCTGGCCCGAGAGGCGTCTGTCGCCTGCCCGGGGCTGGGTGACCTCCCCGGGCGGGGGCAGGGCGACCCCCCCCAGCCTGCTGCCATGGCTTGGCCCCAGCAGGGAGTGCAGCGATGCTGGGCTCTGCTCCCCCAGCACGGGATGCTCTCATCACCGGTGCGGCCAGGGTGTCCAGGCTGTGCCTGGGACCCACGGGTGCGAGTCAGGAACTCAAAGTGCCACTCTCTGCCCTGCACCAACCCTGCGTTCCCACCGGGCATCATCTGAGCTCACCCAAAAGTTTTCATGGAGCTGCGGGGACAAATCCTGCCATGAGCCCCTTCCTGCATCCCAGCTGAAACACCGCGAGCCAAAACATCCCCCACAGTCACAGCCATGTGCACCGGCACCGATGCCCACGTGGGGTGCGGCAGTCCCCCCGGCACAGCCACTCGGTGCCATGCCCTGCTGTGGCCTGGCAAAGCTGGGCACAGATTCCTGGGGGAGGCCAACTTTCCATTGCGCTCAGCGATTTAAAAGACAGTGGGTTTTGGTTTTTTTTTTTTTTTTTGCTTTGTTTCATTTCAA